TAGCTAGTTTTTCTTCTCTTCTTTTCTTTCTCTCTAGAGTCTACAAATCTAATCCTTTAAGGTTAACATTCATTCCTATATAGCCTATATTTTATCTAATATATTATCTATATAATTAATTATATAATATCGAATTATCTTATAAACTTATAGTTAAAGAACTAGATATTAATATATTAATCAAGGAATTAACTAATAAATTAGCTACTAAATAATCTATTTTTTTAGCGGTAGAAGGTAAGTTAGTTTAACTTATTTCCGGAAATTCGGTTATTAAAATAGAGATTAATCTTCGATCTTTTATATTCTAGTTAATATCTTTAGTATAGGTAGTATAGTCTATACTCTTTCTAATATATCTAGACCTATAAAAGCTTACTTCTATTAAATTATAGATCTTAAAACCTAAATTACTATCTTTAATTATTTATTAGTAATAGAAACTTATAAAATTAACTTTAGCTTAATTATAACCTTCGGATCTTTATAAGATTATTTATCTTTCTTAATTATAAAATCTAGAATATATAAACTACTTTTTTTATAAAATACTTTAGTATTATTATCTAAATTAAGATTCTTAGATACCGGCTTTCTAACTAAAATATCTTTTTTAGATTATTATCCGATTAAGAAGAGTTAAGATTAAGTTTATTAGGAAAAGTAATATTTTATAAATAATTTCTTTTAAAATAGGATTTTATATCTTAAAGATATAATTATTCTTATCTTTATAATTAACTAGATATCTTTTAAATATATAAATAACTAATTTCTTTAATTAAATATATATCTTCTTTAGAATATAAATAAATATAATAGTATTTTATATATTTATATAAAACTTTATATCTAGTTTTTTTATATAATATTATATATTCTAAAAAATCTATTTTTTAGTTTTATTAAATTATTAAGTTTTATAATTAAAATTATAAAATTTAATCTAGTTTTTTTTTTAAAAAAAAATAATATTAAAAAGAAAAGCTTTAATATATAATCTTTTTATATAATTAAATTAATAATAAATTTTATAAATTAAAATAGATTTATTAATTTAATTAAATTTTTTATCTAAATCTAAGTCTAAATTAGAAGAATTTAATTTATAAAAATAAATTATTTAAATAAAAGATTATTATATCTTCTTTAGAATTATTTTTTAATAAAGTAGACTATCTATTTAAAATATATTATTAAATTATTTTATTAATCTAACTTCTTTTTTATTTTTATAAACTAATTTCGAAATAATTAGATTATAATAGATATTATAATCTATTTTAAAAGTATTAAATAAAAATAAATAATTAGTAATTATTATATTATAATAAATATTAATAAAAATTATCTTAATCTTACTTTCCGAATTTTTAATTTAAATTAATATTTTATTATAACTAATTACTAATTAGATTTTATTATTAATATTTATATAACTATATAACTTCTTATTAAATTTATAAATTAAGTATTTATAGAAGTCTTTATAATATCTAATAATTATTTTAGAAGTATTACTATTAATTATCTAATTATTCTCTAAAAAATAAATTATATTAATATAAATAATATTAGTCTTATTTTTTTTTATATATAATTATATAGTACTAAATATTATTATATAACTTTTATCTTTTTATAAATAGATCTTTTATTAGATAGAAATATATTTTAATAAAATATCTAATATATTTATAATAAATATATTTAAAATTATTTATATATTATAATTATTAATTATATTACTATTCTATTTATTTATTAATCGATTTATTTTTAAATAATATATTCTTTATATTTTATTATTATTCCTTTTAACTTTTTTAATTATTTTTATTATTATTATTATTTAATTTAAAATTATATAAATTATTTTTATAATCTTTATTATTATAGTCTTAATTTTTTATTTTATCTTTATATTAATTATTATTATTCTAAATAATATTAATAAAAACTTTTAGATTAAATAATAATAAAATAGGAATATTATATATTTTAATTATTAATATTTTATATATATCGTTAAAAATCTTTTTTATAATAGAATCTAATATCTTATCTTTTAAAGTCTTATAAATAAATATAACTAATTTAAATTTACTTTTTAATTATTAAAATATTATAAATAATACTCTAAATAAATAAAATTCGATTTTATATATATTAAACTAATTATATTAGATCTAATAAATATTAATATAATTTTTTATAAAATTAAAGTATAATCTTTTTATCTTATTAAATTTAATTATTTTATATCTTATATTATTAATAATATTAATACTATAAATAATAAACTTAATTTTATATAATATATAATTAGTATAAATTAGAAAACTATTTATATATTCTTTAAAAATTATAATAATCTTCTAATTTAAAAGATCTTTAATCTATTTATTAGAAATCTTTAATTAATATCTTTATAAATTATAATTAAAATTAAATTTAATAAAATAAGAAAGATTATAATTAATAACTTAATTAATTTATATTATATTTAATCTATTAATAATCTATTATTTCTATTTTATTAGATTATTATTATTAAAAGCTAATTTAATATCTTTATTAAACTTAATCTCTTTTATTTTAGAAAGATTAGTTTTTTATATATATATTTATTTAATAGAATTATATTATTATTATTATTAACTATTAAAAATAGGATTTTATTATTAGTAAGAAGTAAAAAAAGAATAAAAAGAATCTTCTTCTTTATTATTATTATTATTATAAGAATTAGTTATTTTAATTATATATTAAATATCTCTCTTTAGTCTTAATCGAAAAAAATAATATATATATTAGTACTGTCTATTATATCGATAAAATAACTATAGAAAATAAAGCTTCTTAGATAATTAGAATAATAAAAATATTAACTTATAATAAGATTATCGATAAAAATTAATATTAATAATAGGATTAATAGTCGAAAAGTAGAGATATAGAATAGGCTAAAAAACGCGCCCTATAAAAGAAAGTAAAAACTCTAATTAGTTAAAAATTTTTAACAAAAAGATACTCGGAGTCGTATAAGTAAGGGCTTATAACCTATTAGATAAAATATAGGCTATATAGGAATAAATATTAACCTTAAGGGATTAATATTATAGACTCTAGAGAGAAAGAAAAGAAGAGAAGAGAAACTAGCTACTATCTAAACATTATCCTAAGTTCTATAGGTCGAGATCACATGCGACCCTATATGGCCATCATGTGACTCCAACACTAAGGTAATTATAGAAAGAAATTCTATAGTAGCTAGGTAAGCTAACTAGTATTTAAGATTATTAATACCGACTACCCTATCGTCCTTAGCGTATTTTTATATTAACTCTATTATAATTCTCGATATAGGCGCTAGGTTACTCGCTTAGACTCGGCTTATCTACTAAGGGATATAGTAGTTAACCTACACTATCGTTCTATTAAATAATATTTCCGAAGAGGCGTTCTTATATTCGGCTTACCGATCTTAACCTCCCTACTAAGATTTATAAGAATATTAGAGTAATCTAAAGAAGTATAACGGAAGCCCTAGGCTATTAAATAAGCTAGTCTTTCTAAAAATTATATTCTATTAACGGTTTAGTCGTTATATAAAAAGATTTAAGGTATAGACCTAGGATATAATAGTAGCTAGTTATTACTAGTCTAGGAAAGCCTTATAAGTAATAATATAATCTAGTAATAATAGGTTAAATTCGCTTAGAGTATATAGGCAATTAAAGGTATAAAAATATTCCTAAACGGAAGTAATATTCTTATAATTTATCGAACGGAGAACTTTAAGGATTTTATCGTAGTCTATACTTAAGAATTAACGAATCGCCCGTATAATACGCCTATTAGAAGACCGGACGTATATAATAACCGTTCTAGCTAGATTATATTTATAGTATTTCTTATAAGTATCCTAAGGGAACTCGTTCCGTAAATTAAAATCCGAGCTAGTATAGCTATTCGCTTAAAGAGCTAAGGCTCGTAGCGAACCTCTAATGATCTTACCGTTAGGCTCTAGGGGTAAGAATAAAAGGGGTTTAGTTAGGTAGGAACTACGAACGAAATTGCTAGACTTCGATTTAGGATCGGAAAATTGCGATACTTCTTTATTCTCGGATAGAAGTAGTATAACCTAAGATAATTAGACTCTTATAGCTCGCTTTTTAATATCCGGGTTTATAATAGAGCTACTTATAGTTAAATCTAGGTAAGAAAGTAAAGAAAAAATAGCTTTATAAGATACTACTTATAATATTTAATAGCTCCCTAACGTAATATCCTACGGGTTACTAAGGGGCCTTATAAGGGTAGGGTGCCCTATAGGGGTATAGTAATAAAGAAGTACTGCGCTAGGTAGATTAGCTGAATTTAGCCGGGGTAAGTATAAATAAAACTCGATCTTAAGTTATATTATAAGATCCTATTCTTTCCTATTACTTTATCTTATAATAAGCCGCGTTTTATTTACTAAAGAAGAGGTATAATTAGTAAGTAAATAGTAACTAAAATATATTAGAATAGCGAAAGTTAGTATTAGTTAAATCTAATTCGATCCTCCTTTATCTCGGGATCTAGATCCTAAAAATTTAGATCGACTTTATAGTGTCTTTTACTAGAACTATTATCGCTATCTAGATATTAATAATTATATCCCTACTATCGTATCGCTATATAATCTCGCCAATACGTTAAGGAAGGCTAATATATTATAGTAGTTACTATTAATAACGGATATTTATTAACTACTTAGAATTAGTTTTTTAAAAGGGTAGTTACTTAGGCTTTATAGTCGTTACTATATCTAGGCCGGAGCTAAGATACTACTACCCGCTAATCGTTAGTAGATAGTAGATCTTTACTCCGATAGTAACTATACCGAGAAAAGATAGCTAATTATATACTAATAATTATAATAGATATTAGTATAGAGCTTAAAACTTCCTTAGTAGAGGAATACGCTAATAAAAAGAAGCCGACCGATAGTAAAATCTATTATAAGATTCGATAATACGAGGGCGATTATAATAAAACCTTCCGGGAGCGATAGTTTATATATCTATTGTATAGTAACTAAAAGCGTTTAGATTAGTTAGATAATAAGAAAAATCGCCGTATTCGAGATACTTTTAATAGGCTACTAGCGATTCCTAGGCTTTAGCTAAGGGGGATAAGAATTAGTATATTTTATAGACTAATAGCTTCTAGATATATTAAAGTAAGTTCTAGAAACCTAGTTTCCTTCTATCTTACTAATCGAACGCTTTATTCGTTATAGGAGACTATAACTTATCTATACTATATCTAGGACTTTTAGTCCTCCCTAGTCCCTTCGGACTACGCCTTACTAAAGAAGATTGACTAGAATACTATAAATTCTTTATAGCTACTAGCGCCCGGTAAATTACGCTTTAATAGGAGAACTACCTATAGAATAGTTCTAAGCGGCTAAGCTTTTACCGAGTTTAGCGACGAAGAGCGACGGATTATATAGTCCCGAATATAGAATTTTAATAGTCTAATCCCGTCTTTATATATCTTTTTCGAAGGCTTTAAGTACCTAGAGGCCTATACCTACTATATTAAGCGGCTCTATAGCCCGATCGATATATCGATCTAGAGAACTATAAGTTTAATATTTATTCTACTTTTAAAAGAGGAAACCGCGACTTTAGGGGTAGTAGATTCGCTTATCTAGATTAGGCCTTGACAAGTCCCGCAGCACCAAGGCAATTTTGGTGCTGCGATATGGTGCTGCGAGGTACTACGGGACTAAGCCAATTTTGGTGCTATTGTATGGTACTACAGCACTAAGTGCTATAGTACCGTTATAGCACTAGTTTTAGTACTGCGCTAGCATAATTCTACTAAGGATTACCTAAAATAGATAGATAAAATGCTAACTTATTTTGATAAATTACTATTTTTTACTTATATATTAGTATTAGGAGGTAGTTATAGTTACTTACTATTAAGATTCGTATTAACTTACGTTTAAAAAATAGATTAAAAGCTTTAAGTACTATATAAATATAGATTTAAAGTAAAATCAGCCTAAAATAGTATAGAATTAGTAGTTAATATTATATAGAAGAGAATATATAGGTATTATATATAGATATATATATTTACTTTATATAAGGTTTTCTGGCCGCGCGCTGCGCGGCCTTTAACCCTTTTCGTCGTGCCATATGAGAATAATGAAAATGAAGGGTTTTAATAGTAAGTTGGTCCCCTAGCCCCGTTCCTATTTTCTGTTTATAATCTAAGAATATAAAAATAAGAAATATAGGAAGCTAGTAAATTGCGTAGTTCTAATTAGTTCTATATATAATAATCTTAATATATATAGTAAGTCGTAGAAATTGCTCCTTTCCTATATATCCCCCCTGAAATACCTTATCCTTTATAAAACAGCCTATCTAATATCCTTATATATTATATAGGTATATAGAAAATATTATTTATAGAGGTAAAAATATAGGTATAATATCTATTTTATAGAGATAGTTAATAGGCCTTTTATTTTATTTAGTAGTAGAACTCGGCGTCTATAATATTAGCTTTATATAAAGGCTTTAGAGAAGATACTTTTTATCTTTTAAGATAGTTATAAGGGTACTATTTTATTTTATAGGGATACTTAGGGAGGGAGAATATCTCTTTATAGGAGATAGATTAAGTACCTCTTATTTTCTATTTCTAGAATAGAATAGGACTTATAGAGGGGAGACTACTTTCCTAGTTAGCTTTAATAAACTAAAAATATAAAACTAGATATATATAACTCTCTTATATTTATATCCTACTTACTTTCTATAATTTAGGCGCTTATAGGCGGAATCTTTACTAGTATTATCTATAGAAATCTAATAGTTAGTATAACTTTTTAAGTTTAAAGCGGTAATACTAAATAATTTTTATTACTTTTTTTTAGAAGGAGAGAGAGATAGTAGAGGTAGAGATAGTAAATATTTTATAGTAAAATCGTTAAAAGATAATTTATTAAATAACTCTTCTAATAACTCTATATCGTCTTCTTTAATTAAAGTAGTCGGATAAAGAGTAGGAGTAATAAGAATAAGGAGTAGGAGGGAGGAGTTATATATATTAATAATAAGCTAGACTAATCTATCTTTTAATAGCGATAGCGCTATAATTATACTACTATTATTTAAAGCGAAGCGGTAGCGTTTTTTAAAAATAACTAAAATATAAGAGATCGGCGGGGCTATAAAAACTAAAGAAGATAGTATAAAGAATATAGTAGAAATAACTAAATAAAGATACTCTTCGCTATTAAGAACTTAATAGCCTATCTAATTACTAAAGACCTAAAGATAGTATCTAAACGTAGGTATAGAGAAATTAGTCTAATATAAGATTAATAGTAATATATAAATAAGGGTAGAGGTATTACTAGAACGGGTCTTTTTATAATTATATATAATTAAATTAAGATAAAATAACTAATAACTACTACTATTAAAGTTTTAAGAGTAGAAAGCTCTAATAAAAGAGAGGGAGCTATTAGTTATTAGTAGGTAGTATTTATTATAAGAGGAACTATTAGGATTATTTTATATATTAAAGAGAAGAAAGTTATTAATAAGCTAGTTAAAGATAGAAGGAATAAATAAGAATAGAATATATAAGATAAGCTAATTTATATAAATAATAACTCGCGGATAATAGCTATCCGATAGCTTATAGATATTAACTAAGAGTAGGCCTTATATAAAAGCGATAGCGCTAGGGACGAACGATAGCTACTACTTATTATAGTAGTTAATTATTAAAGGGAGGCCTTTAATATTATTAATAGTATCTTTTAAATATATATAGATAGGACCCTATAAAAAAGCCTATATAACTATCCTTAGTATCTTAGGATCCGTAGGCGCGCTCTTAATTATAATAACGCCGGCGAAGAAGTAGTAGATATTAGTTAACGTAGCGGTAGTTTTACTATTAATAGAAGCTATTAAGGATAGATAGACAAAGGGGTAAATAAAATAAAGAAGAGGGTATAAATATTTTAGTAAAGGCCGGTAGAAAACTATATGTTAACTAGAATGACTCCTTGCCCGTCCCGTCATTACTAGATTTTCTCTTTGTATATAAGCAGGACCCACTTCTTGCTTATTTGTAAGTACTTAGGGATATATAGAGAGAAGACTTTGTACTTCTCAACAATTACACTTATTTTACTACTTGCTCGATATAGTAAGATCTTGGTATTAAGTCACTTGCCTTATTCCTTCGTTCGATAGTTATAAGCCCGGTTAGCTAGTAACTCTTCTTTATAAGATTATTACTTAGTCGTTTATTCTAAGCCTCTAATAACCCCTAATATCCCTAAGTAAGAAGTATATAAGAAGTTAATAGATTAATATATTAGACGAAGTATAATCTAATTAACTTCCTACCTCTTTCTTATCTCTAAATAATATAAAGAATAAGTATTATAACGCTAAGATATTATTTCTTTATAATAATCTTACTTTTTTAAATACCGACTATAGTATTTATAAAGAAAAAATAATCCTTAGATCCTTACTTTAGTAGCGAATCTAGTTCTTAGATATAAAAAACTCTAGATAGAGCCTAAAAGTATAGTAATATCTAGATCTATTAACTTCGAAGGAAAGCTAGATTTCTCTTTTAATAAAATCTAAATAATTACTTAAAACTAATAAGAAGTACGCTAAAGATCTTATAAGTAATCGCTTATTTAGTAAAGTACTTATAGATTATAATACCGACTATTATAATTATAAATAAGACTTATTAGATTACTAAATTATTCGAATATTACTTAATAAAGCCTCTAAGAGAATAAGATACTTTTTTTTCTTAGAATTATAAAGCTTAATAGTTAATATTAGGGATATAAAAGAGCTTCTTCGAATATTTTAAAAATACTTTTCTTTTATTAATAGGATATAAATATAATTTATTAAAAGATAATAAAATAAGCTACTTTTTATCTTAGTTAAAGATATAAGTATTAATATATAATTATTAAAAGTTAAAAATCTTTATATAAAGTATAAAATAGCGAAGATAGACTTTATAAAATCTAAAGAAAACGCTATTTATAACTTTTTATAAATATTAATATCTTATAAATTATAATTTTCTTATTAATAATATATTAAGATATTTATAATAAAATAATAGACTAATTTTATAAATATTATTAATACTTACTATTCTAAATAAGTACTCTTTAATAAAAAGAAATTAAAAAGTAAAGCTTTATAAAGAGTCTTTATAATACTTAATAATAAATAGGAAGCTAAACTAGCTACTTCTTTTATTAATTAGATAACCTCTTTATTAAATAAGATTTTAAAGAAATAGCTATAATATATATATAAAAGAAAGTATTTTTTTATTATATATCCCTACTTTATTAAATTAATAAGGCCGAATAACTAAAAACTAGATTTAATTATTACTAAGAAATTAACCGCTAATATAAAAAAGTTAAATAAGAAAATAAAAAAGAAAGCTAAAAAACTTCTTATAAAACTTACTAAAAAAAAAAGTACTATTTAGTCTTATTATATAAAGATTAGAAAAGATAATAAAAGATCCTTTTTAATTATATTAAATAGTTCTTAATTAAATATAAAAAAGTAAATTAAAATACTTATATCTTCTTTATTTATATCTTTCTAATAAATACTATCTATAATATTATCTCTATAAGATATCCTTTTTTTAGTTAATACTATTTTCTTAATTAATCTAAGATTATTAATTAAAGATTACTAATTAATTAATTTAGCTACTAATAAGTATATTACTAATAATAAAAGCCTCTTTATTAAATTTAAATCTCTTAATAGTTTATTAAAGATTAGTAGTATAATAATTAAGCTTTATAAAATAAATAAAGTTTAACTTCGGACTATAAGCCGCTTTAGTAATCCTATAACTCTTATTTTATTAAAAGTAGAGTTCTTATCTAGCTTTTATTATAATCTTATTTTAATTATATTTATAAAATAAAAAGAATATAAAGCTAATTTTAATAAATTTATTATTATTAATAAAATAATTAGAAGGATCTTCTTTTATTTAAAAGAGATTAATAACTTCTTTATATTTTCTTAAATAGATTTTATATTTCTAGTAATATTTATTATTATATTATTTAATACTAAATATTCTTCTTTACCGCTTACTTTAAAAATAATAGCTTTTTAATAATATTAACGCCTTAATTATATATATAATAAGTAAGTTTAATAATTTATCTAGATAATAAAAAAGTATAAATTATTCTATTTATAATTATAAAATATAAATTAGAATTTTATAAGACTTATTAACTCTTTTAGATACTATAGTAAGTCTTATACTATATTTAAAATATAAATTTTAGTCTATTTAGCTAGATATACTTTAATCTTATAATATTATAAAAGACTTATAATAATAATAAATAGATTTCTTATTTTTATCTTAATAAGATTCGCTTTTACTAGATATAAAATTATAAGTGAAAAAGCGGTTATTAGGAAGTAATTATTTAATTTATTTTATAATTATAGATCTAATTTAATTTATTAATCTATATATTTTAATTAAATAATAAAACTTTTATAA